TTTCGTACATGCCTTCGTATAACGACCATTAACAAGTTGCTTCATGGGTAAGCAAAGAAAAAAAGACGAATATTTTAATATTTTATGCGTTAAAAAAAAACACAATGGTTTAGTTTTTTAGCTCTTGAAATATTCACAATAGAAATACATAATTGATTGTTACATCTAAATTAATTTGTTTTTAATCATGATATAATTAATTTTCTTTTTATATTCTTTTGCAAAACTATTTAAACCTTCTTTATTTCTTTTTTTCTTTAATGAGCATTGCCATTGAATTAATGTAAGAAAAAAAATACCATAATTAACTTTACTAATTAATAATCGTAGTTGATCTCTCACAGAGACTCTCTAAAAGCGTTGTTATGTTGCAAGGTGTGAGCCACCTGGTACAGCTGCTGACCTCGACCTTCACCCCCTTTACCCTTCAACCTTTTCAATTCGTTTAGCCGGCGCGCATGTCGTGCTCCCGATTGTTGCCTTCAATCTATTTATAGTGCTACCGCAGCGGTTCCCCTCCCATTAGGAGATTTGATTGGGGCAATGGACGGAGACAAGAGATACGAACAAAAGAAAAAGAAAAAAAATCACCACGTTAAACCCGTATAGTGAATTGTACTTGTGTGTGTGTGGGGGGGGGGTGTGACAGTTTGTCCGGGTGAGTGAGGATTAGGGTCATGTAAAACGTTTTGGTATAGAAGAAACAAATGTGTCTTGGGGGTCATCCATAAATGACGTCACACTCGTAGGGGGGAGGGGGGGTCCGTAATTTTGTGACGATGTGTGATGAGGGGGAGGGGGGGGGGTTCAGATGTTGCGACGTCACATTTTTGCATTATAAAAAAGCAATGTTAGAAAACGAATGTTAGACGTTATTTCGCGTTTTAGATAACTGTTTTAATAAATTGTAATAGTTTAGACAAGATTTTGGAAAAATATCGATGTTTTAAAAAAATTCAACTGCAATTTTGAGGGGGGTTGTAGGTTGAGGTGTGACGTCATTTTAGGGGGGGGGGGGTCTGGCTTTTTGTGACGACGTGTGACGGAGGGGAGGGGGGGAGGTAAAAATCGTCAAAAAAAGCGTGACGTCATTTATGGATGACCCCTAGGTGGTTAAGTACTGATGTTGATATTACTTGTACATGGTGTCAAAGACTTTGATGGGTGATGAACAAACTTTAAGGATGGCTCATAAACTTCATGCTTAAGTATTGACACTATAGGAGAAGGTCCATAGCCTGTCTCTGTTGGCCACTGTAAATGTAAGCGAGCGAGCTATTGCTATTTCATGGCCACTACAGCAGTGGGCAGCTGACCAGTCGTCTTTGGCCCATAGGTTAGCCAATGGCCAATACACGATGGCCCATCCGTTAGCTCATGGCCAGACAGTAATGGCTCATTCAACGATGGCCCATTCAACGATGGCTCATTCGTCGACCGATGATCAGTCTACGATGGCCGATCCAACGGGCGACTAGTCCACAATGGTTCCTTGATGTAGAAACACCTGAACCACAGCTTTCAACTTCAGTATCACATACTATTTCTTAAATAACTAGCTGATTATTTTACTTTACAGTATCGACCACACATTGCCGAATGTTGTCAACTTAGAAAATAAATTTCTCCGAACTATTCATCATTAATTGTGTTATCCTTCCTGATAAAAGACAGCAGTGTATTTGTATGGCTGCCATCCATGTTTCTGATCCCGAAAACAAAACATATTTCTAATTTTAATATAATACCATAAATAGCAGGATAATGGTATAATGCCACCACTACAAACACCACAACTACACAACAATTACATGAACCACCAGAAGCATGACGAAAATACCACAAAATCTAATTGAATACCACATCACAGTAACATCATACATCACCACCGCAACGCTCGTTCTTTATCAGTTTCTTTAATTTCATGAAGTAATGCACACAAGGACTATAGCTATGTAAAACATAATCTCAGCAACAATAAATATGTCAATATTATATTGTGGCATGCAGTATATACATTATAACACTCACACCATCAGTAATATCACAGTACATTGTCATCTGTCTCCATAAACGTTCTCATTTCGACATAGATATGGTAGTTTATATAGTACCCTCAGGTCATCATGTAGTTTGATTATAACGTCATTTGGTCTGAATCTATAACAGAGGCGTAGTGACCCTTCCCGGCGCCCGGGGACATATTTTCAATTTTGCGCCCCCCTCGGGAGCAAATTTTCGATTTGCACCCCCCCCCTCAAACTTTCGATTTGCACCCCCCCCCCCCCCTCGAACTTTTCATTTGCACCCCCCCCCTCAAACTTTCAATTTGGCGCCCCCCCCCCCCCTAAGGTCGGCGCCCGGGGACATATGTCCCCCCCCGCCCCCCCCCCCCCCCGCCCTCGCTACGCCTCTGATCTATAATCACTTGATCAAATACTGTCATCATTTGGTGTGGTACTGTCATCATTTGGGTCATCATTTGGTCTGGTACTGTCATCATTTGGTCTGGTACTGTCATCATTTGGTCTGGTACTGTCTGCTACTGTCATCATTTGGTCTGGTACTGTCATCATTTGGTCTGGTACTGTCATCATTTGGTCTGGTACTGTCATCATTTGGTCTGGTACTGTCTGCTACTGTCATCATTTGGTCTGGTACTGTCATCATTTGGTCTGGTACTGTCATCATTTGGTCTGGTACTGTCATCATTTGGTCTGGTACTGTCATCATTTGGTCTGGTACTGTCATCATTTGGTCTGGTACTGTCATCATTTGGTCTGGTACTGTCATCATTTGGGTCATCATTTGGTCTGGTACTGTCATCATTTGGTCTGGTACTGTCATCATTTGGTCTGGTACTGTCATCATTTGGTCTGGTACTGTCATCATTTGGTCTGGTACTGTCATCATTTGGTCTGGTACTGTCATCATTTGGGTCATTATTTGGTCTGGTACTGTCATCATTTGGTCTGGTACTGTCATCATTTGGTCTGGTACTGTCATCATTTAGGTCATCATTTGGTCTGGTACTGTCATCATTTGGTCTGGTACTGTGATCATTTGGTCTGGTACTGTCATCATTTGGTCTGACACGGTCTAATAATCTATTGGTCTTATGATTAATCGGTTTACATATCAAACGCTATTATAGTCCAACGATCAATGATCGAATAAACGAAAAGTAAAACCATACAGGCTATTGGTTACTATATACCTACTCTAATGAAAGTCGATTGTTCATTTGGTCGAATAGGCTGATTGGTCAAGTGGTTCAATTTGTCTAATAGAAAACCGTCCTTTGTTGTGTTTTTTTTTTTTGTTTTTTTTTTTTTTCGTTTTTGGTTCAAATAGCCAAGTAATTAAACGTTTGAACAATCTTGTGGTAGATAAAAAATAAATGTTTCATAATCAGACCATGTACAAGTCTAAAGTCAAATGGTCGAACGATGTCATAAATGTTTGTCCATTCAAGCAACTGGTCAAAATATTTAGCGGTCAATCTATCGTTATGATTCGCTTTTGTTTGTATAAGTGGATTGGTATAATCTTTAATTAGATAAAAGCACTTTTAACATGATTATTATTTTTACACGACAATTTTAGTACCATAAAAATGTATATCATATCACAAAATATCGTATTTTTATGTTTCACTACTACTTTTAGAAATAGTTAAACAAAAATACTCAAATCAAAATAAATAAATAACTAGCATAGCATAACCTCACATAATGCCAAGGGAGGTAACCGTGATAAAACACACCAGTCGAGTGTTTCGAGTATTATCTTTCCTAGTTATGGACAGGTTTTAAAAAACAGTCATGATAATTAAGATAATTAATATACCACTTTAATGTATTTTAAAATCTTTCATTGTGTACATTAGAACTGTATATAATTCATAAAATATTGACGATTTATAACAAAATATGATGTTAAAGTTGAAAAAAAAAAACCTAAACAATTGTGTCACCGTTTAAAACGAAACGATATTTTCACAAATTAAGAACATGTTCTAATCAAAAAAGAAATAATTGTTAAGGTTATTACAATCACTGTGGTTCATATAAAACAGTAATTACTTATATCACGTGACAACTAGCAAAGTTAATGCGCCATTGTTTGTCTATACATATTAGTTTAATTTTTAAACACATTCAACTCAATTTTTAAAACTACGGTTAAAGAAAAAATGTATAAATAATATACATAAATAAAATATGTATTTTAGACAATAGAGAGCAATGGTATTAAAGTTTAACTCAGTAAAGCTTACATAAACAAATGTAATGAATGTACCAGACTTAAAATTGATGTTTAAAAGTAAGCATCAACAATATCAGACAACCTTCATTTGCATAGACAAATTTCTTTGTCACTGGTAACGGTTCCATAAAATAATTTTATTGTATATTAGAACCTAATTTGACAGTTAATTTATCTTTTGAAACATATATTTACATATATATCTTTCGCTTTAGCTTGATTATGTAGAAAACAAACAATTTCTAAATATTTCAAAATTATAAATAGTTATCACAAAGCATATAGTTCTTGTACACATATTTCATATGCTCACAAAAATGCTCATTTATTTCTATAAAAAGTCGCTCGCAATTTATTAAAATCTCACTCATGTATTTTCTTAGGCGTGAGCTAAAATCACGCCGACAGCTATGTACAAGTTTTAATCGTATTAAAATAAATTCATTACAAAACATTCCTTTCAATGGTGTGAGGCTTATTTACATGGGATAAATTGTAAAAATGCCTACTGAAACGATTCGCTTCTTTCGACATTTTTTATTTCTAATTATTTCTCATTTATATTTTTATTTTATTAAGTTTGTTATTATATTATTGGGTTTTTAGTTTGTTTAATTTCACATGTTTAGCTGTGATTGTAATTGAATTAAAAGTAACATAAGCTCCATTTTCAAACGGGCTATAGGGCAAGCGAAGTAGAGTTTACCTTTTTTGTCACCTCAGCATATGAAGGGATAGAGCTGGGTTGACTCAGGAAGGTTCTACTAAACTGAACCTGGTTTCGAACTCGAGACTTTCGGGCTAGCAGTCTAACACTCTACCTCTAGGCCACGCTGTCCCATGTAATTAAATTACAATAACATTAAATCCAAGTTCATTTGATTGCTATTTCTAGTTAAGTTTTGGAAATAGATGAATTATAGGAGTAGGTTCGTTGTGTAGATAGTTTCCTTGTGTGAATAGTTGAGTTGTGGGGTTAGTTGCTCTGTGGGAATAGTGGAATTGTTGATATAATTTCGTAATGTGAATAGCTGAGTTGTGGATATCGTTGACTTGTGTGAATAGTTGGGTTTTGCAGATCGTTGACTTGTAAAAATTCTCGCTTCGTGGAGATAGGTCTGTGTTTCTTCAGTCGGACTCTTCTCTCGCATGTACGCTAAACTGTATACAATTAGTTCAACACAGAAATGATTTTATAACAATAAAGCTAAACATTATTTGGTATTTGCAAACACGTCACATGAGACACATAAAAAACCACGTGATTTCAATACAGAGAATGTACTTTACCACATCTTTAAGTGTGTATCAGTCGAATAAATCGACAATATTGTTACTGGGTACGTTGATATCGAGTTAACTCCCATATATTACGACATTCAGTCAAGGGGACATCACTTCATACTAAATAAACTCTCCGTTGTCTCATCTGTACAGTGGCATCTCGTTAAGGGGGTCATCACTTCATGCTAAAATATTATATCCTGGTAAAACCCAATGTTTTTATTCTCACTTGTTTGAAATCAAAAAATTTCATGGGGCTCCGTTAGTCATTTTGGTTATCAGAATCTGTACCGTTTTGTCAGATTGGTTAATCTTGAAATCTCGTAAAATCTCGTGAAATCTCGTAAAATCTCGTTAAATTTCGTAAAATCTCATGAAATCTCGTCAGTTTATCGCCAGCGCCTGTGACGTTTTATTCTTCCTCCTCGTCCAGTAGCGGGGGCAGATGACTCACGCTGTTGAGCGTGGTGAGCACTGCGCCATCTTCTGGCGATGACCTGTACTTAACCGTCCAAGTCGGCCCTGAATGTGCGTGGTGCGAGGACGCCTCCCCGGGCTGGGTTAGATCCTCGGTCGCCGGGGCGACGCCGTTACACAACAGCGTCGTGGTTTCGTCTATCCTCGACGCGTCACCGTTGGCGTGGGTTTTACTTTTTAAAACCGGACCCCCGTTCGGCGTCGGTGGGATTCGATCCACCTCCGCCAGCGTTTCACTGAAGGTCACCTTCGGCGAGCTGGAGACCCGCGGGATGGGCTTGGGCAGAGCGATGGCACTGAAAGGCATCTTGGGCATGCTGGCCACTTTGTGGAAAATTCTCGAGTTGTTGTTGTTGAATGGTGAGTGTGGCGGGGTGGTGGTGGTGGTGGTGGTGCCGTCCTTGGAGAAGGCCTCGGTTAGGGGAATCCCCTGGGAGACGCTGGTCCGGTCGCGCCCGATGTAGAAGGAGGTGGTGGAGAAGGCCCGCGATGACCTCCCGGAGGCGATGCTCTGACGTCGCAGCCAGTGGCGGTTCCAGCGCTTCATGACCTCGGCCCTGACCTTTGGAAGGTCATGAAAATAAAAGTAAAAACATTTTTTTTTGTTTAAGTAATTTGGCTGTTCCATCGCTTCGTGAGCTCGGCTCTGACCTTTGGAAGGTCATGGAAATAAAAATAAAAATATGTTCATGATTGAATTTTTATTTTGCTATTTAAAAGCTATCATTCTAAGTTAAAGTAATCTATATCTAGCTCATAGGTAGAAGTCTCTATGATCCAATCAAGTTTTCAACTTAATCTCCTTGAGTGAAGACATATTTTACCCCCCCCCCCCCTCCTCTTCTACCTATCTACCCTTATCCTTCCTGACCTCTGCCATTATTTACAACTTTAAATAGACAATCTCGTAGTGGTCTTCCAAATCACCTGACTCTTTCTTTTCTTTAAAATTAAGTGTGTTTTTTTTTTAAAGATAAAAAATATTGTAATGAATCTAACTATACAATGAACGACTTTTTCAGAATAATTCTTAATTAAGTAAGTTTTTTATGACTTCAAATTGCTTACCTCCCCGTTCAAGAAACAGAAGAGAAACGCAATGATTGTACCCTGGGGATAAAAAAGAATGCAATTGATGTTAGTTATTGGGGATAAACAGAATACAATTGACGAAATACATCCTGACATTTACCTATAATACATCCTTATATTTACATATAATACAACCTTACACCTACCTATAATACATCCTTACATCCACCTATAATGCATCCTTACAACTACCTATAATACATCATTACATCTAACTATAATGCATCCTTACATTTACCTATAATACATCCTTACATTACCTATCATACATCATTACATCTACCTATAATATATCCTTACACCTACCTATAAAACATCATTACATCTACCTATAATACATCATAACAACTACCTATAATACATCATTACATCTACCTATAACACATCCTTACATCTACCTATAATACATCATTACACCTACCTATAATACATCCTTATATCTACTTATAATACATCATTACACCTACCTATAATACATCTTTACATCTACCTATAATACATCCTTACATCTACTATAATACATTATTACATCTACCTATAATACATCATTACATTTACCTATAATAAAGTATTACATCTACCTATAATACATCCTTACATCCACCTATAATGCATCCTTACATCTACCTATAATACATCATTACATCTAACTATAATGCATCCTTATATCTACTTATAATACATCATTACACCTACCTATAATACATCTTTACATCTACCTATAATACATCCTTACATCTACTATAATACATTATTACATCTACCTATAATACATCATTACATTTACCTATAATAAAGTATTACATCTACCTATAATACATCATAACATATACCTATAATACATCATTACATCTACCTATAATATATCCTTACACCTACCTATAATACATCCTTACATCTTAATACATCCTTACATCTACCTCTAACAAAACAGCCCATGTCAACCCTCACCTGAAACGAATTGAGCACAGTCTCTATATAAATGTGAATGACCGCAAGATGAACGGCCTTGATGTGCGACATGATGAAAAAGTACAGGAAGTACACACCAAACAGTGGGATCAAAACCAGCGTAGACTTGGCCAGTTTTCTGGTGGGCAAAGATAAACATATAAATAAAGAACAGCATTTTATATAGGCTTATTACTTTATTAAAGTTACTGTGGGATGTATTTTTTCTTCAGAAAACAATGGAACGTTGAAAAAATAAAGTCTTTCAACAGTGTACATTAAAGGTTTCTAAACATGACACACCGCGCATCTATACAAATAAACAACATATTGGCACCTCCATTACCACTGCTCTATGTGTATATGTGTTCTACGTCTAGAGCATATACAAACCATAACATACAACGATAAAATAAAAGATAAAAAGTAGGTTTGAATAAATGCTTTTTTTTCTACGACAACGACCACTTTGACGTGGTGTTGTGTAGGTGAGGGGGTAATGTGCAAGCTGGTGCTTCTTTCTGTGTGTTTTTCTTATCGACAAACAGTCAATCTTTAAATATAATGCGCTGTCTAGTATCGCATCTTTTGTACTTTTCAATACACAGATGTTAGTGCTTGGTAACATAAAAAAAAAAGTTTTCCTTCTTTATATTATAACTAGCCGTCCCGGCCAGGCCCTGCTCTGGCTTCTGTGAAAAACCTTTCTGTTAAAGACCATTACCTGTGTGTTTAGTAATCATCATAAACCCGGCATTGCCCACCCAAACCACAACCAAGCAAAACAACAAAGCGCAAACATAACGCTAACACAATTACAAATACAAACGAAAACAAAAACCTAACAACAAACCCAACCACAATCACAAACACCAATACAAACACAAAGAAAAAACAAACAAAAAAGCAAACGAAAACAAAAACCTAACAACAAACCCAACCACAACCACAAACACCAATACGAACACAAAGAAAAAAACAAACGAAAAAGCAAACGAAAACAAACCAAATCCAAACGCAAAACCAACCACAAACACAAATACAAACACAAACCCAAAGAAAAAAACACAAACGAAAACGAAAAAAGAAAGAACAAAAACGAACCAAATCAAAACGCAACAACTAACGCAAACCCAACCTAAACACAAAGAAAACACTAACGCGAACATAAACGCAAAGTGCTCACAGTCTAGCCCGGGGCAGAATCGCCTGTTTCAGCTTAATAATTGACTATAGTACACCAACTTATTCATAGTCTTTTGCACTCACTTAAACGAACGTAGGTGCCAAACCAAACCAAATGAACAATTATAATACTCCAAGCTTATTCGTAAAATACCTACAACATTTGCACTTGATCAATCCCCGCTAATTATGTAATTATTTTTTCCCAACACCAAAGCAAAGTAATAAAAAGTAAATTCTTTTCCACTAATGCAATGTTTTATAAAGGGAAGTAATTGTGTTTTCCAAATTTATCAAAGGGAAGTAAGTGCTAAAGGACTAAATATAAATAATTTTCAGACATAATTAGAATTTTTGTTATTTTTTAAAAATTGTGTTTAATGAACATGCCGACAATTATTACTATCAGTTTGAAAAATGAAAATTATTTCCCAACACTTTCAATAGTAATTTTTTAACTATTAAATTTAGACTATGAGTAAGGTAATACTCTACCACTTAAATCCATAGAAGTATGTCAACGACAAACAAACTTATTACATACAGAATTGAGCTTTATATATTAGACGTAATGTAATTGACCCAACCGACAATAGTGTCGAAATTATTCTAAAAGCCTGTTAGATTTTATAAAAATTATGCACGGTGTTATATAAATACATATGGTTATACAAATTTGACTATTAGCTTCTTGTTGGAATTAAATTGGAACACTTCGCGAATTTGCATGTCTTCTAAAATAATTAGAATAATTTTAAAATCTTGATTTTTTTTAAAAATTAAAAATGGTCATGATGAAGTGGCTAATCATACAGTAACTTAAAATAACAATGTTTATATTAAGATAAAAGATATAAAGATGTGAGCTCATTAATTTATGAATTTAGAGCCAGAATTTGAAAACAAAATGAAATGTTCACATTTTCATGAATTTTTCAAAATGATAGATGACATGGAATAACAGTAACAGACAAAATGCTCACAACAAACCCTGTGGGCAGTTGAAATTAAAGAAGCTTTTTTTTCTTCAATTTCGTTGACGAAGCTTGTACATCATTAACAGTAAGTGTTAAGTATGGATGGGAGTAAATGTATACACAAAGATTTAAAATCTTGAGAATTTTTATCTTTTTTTTTTTTTTTTTTTTTTTTTTTTTTTTTTTTTTTGAAACATGAGAATTTTTATCATAGAAGTTATACTTATCCGACATGTAGTAAAAGTCACTGGTAAAAGATAATATGAAACGTTTAATATAATCTATAATGTAAGTAATTGAACGTGTTTAATTTTAAATGAGTGTGCTAAAATAATTCTAAAATGCTAGTTATATTAAATAATTATACAATTTTTTATTAAAATTCTAATATATATTTTTAATGGAATAATAAAGATCTAATAAAGATCTGATTTGTTTTTTTTATTACAATTTACTTTATTTGTGTTTACAACTAATTTTTAGTAGAAGTTGTATATTATATCCCTTGACGTCATTTGCATTATAAAATGGGAAGTAACTACAGCAGATTTAGAATTCAATGTAAAACAAACCTATTTATCAATATTAGAATGTTTCCATGCTCATTAAATAATGATGTTATACATAAAGAAATGTATGGTTGAATACGACAATTATAAACAATTAATTTTATTTATTTATTTTAATGTTGTTCGTAACTGTAAAATTTTGGCAGCATCCTGAGCACTAATTCGCGTTTCATCAGGGAGGCGTGCCTTCATGTTTGGAAACCGTTGGTTTATAAAGACTAGTGATACAAGTATAAATTAAAGTATAAAAAGTAAGGGAAGATTAAAAATCAATCTGAATATGAAAATCATATAAGGGGCATAAGCTATGTTTTACTGATCAAATATAATTTACAGAGTTGTGTAACTTTGATCAGAAATTGATATATTCAAACAAATTTATATTTTATTTTATTTTTATTATTATTAAACGCTTTATTTTTGGATGCATCGAAATAAACATAACAAGTAAAGTACAAATTTTAGCAGCAGCAAAATATGTGTTACTTTCTCTTAAAAGCTTTTTTAAAAAAATAGAGAAAAATGTATTTTGAAATCCAGTAAGCAATTAGATATCAGCAGTGCAATGAAAAGAAGCATATGAGACAGCACAAAATACAAATATATATATATATATATATATATATATATATATATATATATATATATATATATTTATATATATATATATATATATATATATATATATTGGGTGACAGGGCAAAATATCTAGGGACAGTAATATCCGTACTGCACCAGATAACGGATAACTAGTCTGGTAACAGATACTCCAATGTGGACTTATGTTCGCCGATGTATTTAGGCCTATGTAAGTTAAGGTCGAGGTTGAAAGGTCAACCAATCATAGGCCACCATCTCAACTGTCATCTGTGTTCTGACATGTCGAGCTAAAGCTATTTTATTTTTTTTTGTATTGGGTTCAAATAAGGGACACTTAACTGATCCATGTCCTGAAGATTATCATTGTGATTCGCTTGATCCCAGTGGTAAATGAATCCATGTCAATCTGTAATGTATGAGCGTAGTACGAGATCACCGACCCATTAGCTCAACTGATCTAACAGATAGCGGGGTGTACGTGCTGATTTGCCTGTAAGGCCTTGGCGTTTCACCAATATCTTTGGTACGTTTTATTGTTATTGGGTGACTAAATTTGTAGCTTTGTATTGTGACGGAGATTAAACTGTTGGCTTTGCTGTATCGAATAAGGATAAATTTAGAGTTAAGGATAGGATTAGGGTACAGGTTAGATTTTTGTTTTAAAGTTTTAAAAAGATTTTCGTTTTAGGATACGTTTTTTTTGGTTTAGGGTACTGTTAGACCTTGGATTTTGTTTATGGTTTGGATTACGATAGAGGTTAGGTTTAGTAGAGATACAAGCAGTGTTTCTTCCAGACTTTTTTCTCCGGGGGGGGGGGGGGCACTTGAAATTTTCGGGGGGGGGGGGGGGGGCGGTAGACTTTCTTCGGGGGGGGGGGGGGGGTCGGACACTTAAAAGTATATATTTTCTATATAAATTATATAAATTTCATTTCGTTCGGGGGGGGGGGGGGGGGTGGGGGCAGCGGTAAAAAAAAATTTCGGGGGGGGGGGGGGGGGGGGGCAGCGGTAAAAAAAAATTTCGGGGGGGGGGGGGGAGGGTGGGGGGGCTTTGCCCCCTCCCCCCGAAGAGATGCATGGAAAAAAACTCTGGATACAAGGGCATGCATTACGTTTTGGGGCAGCTAAATGGTCTGTGTCTCACATCCCAACCCTCCCCCCTCCGCCCCATACCCCACCCGTTTCCTCAAAGACTAACACATTTAGAAGAAGATATTTTGTCAGAGATCAGTCATGACTTAAAAACAAGAAATGTTGTTACAAATCAAACTACTTTCACCATACTGCGCTGACGAAGGCCTTGTGTCGAAACATTTTTAACCTCGTCTATGTTTAATATTTACAATTTACATTGTCTTGTATTTCAATTCAACCTAAGCATTTTAACAAAAAATGGAAATATTTAAACACAGACATTGCGAAACCAAGTCCAATCATAGTTTGGCTTACGGCTTACTTTATCATTACCTTCTACCGGCTTGTCAAGATTCGACAGATAGATAAAACTATCAAGCATACCGTTACCTTGAACTCCGTTGACTGTATTTTCAAGTGTGAAAATATATTTTGCTATGTTTGGAGGTTTGAGAGGGGGGGGGGGTGCGGGGCACCTACCTGTATCTACCTGGGTCCCTGGTGTTGCAGTTCCTGATTTTTGTAAACAGCATCCGGATGATGTTGAGGAAGAAGAAAAAATTGATCTGGAGAGAGAAATCAACCACAACATTACTAGACGAGAAATCAATGAACAACATTACTAGACGACTAGCACTGGAGAAATCAAACAACAACATAACAAGACAACTAGCACTGAAGAAATCAAACAACATAACAAGACGACTAGCACTGAAGAAATCAAACAACAACATTACTAGACGAGAAGTACTCGAGATAACCAAGATGGCTTATTGGCTAAAAAACTACAGAAGAAAGTAAAACATTTTAATCTTTGAATTACTGGAGATGTGTTTCATATTGTTATTGAGCACATAGCCTTGTGTATGTAGAAGTATTTCATTTCACAATGGAGATAACTCTGTCTTGACTGGTAGAATTCGTGAATTAAATAACTTGTTTTGTTAAAATAAAATAAAATTGTTTATTGATATTATATCTATATAATGCGTAGTAAATTATTAAGTTCGCCATCAATATTACAATGTTGTAATTTATAGATTTTAGTTAAGAAAAGATGGCGGGGGAGGGGCGGGATACGAGTTCCTGCTTGATCGACTTTCTGAGTTTAACTGTTTTGAGAAACAAAAAGGTGGGGAGGGGGGATAGTTTTTGTGACTCACCGAGATGGAGACCACTATTGGCCCGTGCAGGGCCCAGTACACTCCGTGGCTGTCCATGTTCCAACAGCTGTTGAGAGACAATAGGATTACGGGATTAGGAAGGATGCCACCAGAAAGGGACGGCGGCGTGGTCTAGCGGTAGCGGTAACAATGCGAACCGAAATTCTCGAGTTCAAAACCCGGGTTTAAAACCGTTGTTTCTCCCCTGACCGAACTACCTCTTAAGTCCGAAATGTTTCCCCGGCCCCCTCCCTTGACGCCCTAATCCAAATCTAACAGATACCAACAGATACGCCGCTCTCGCCTATAGTGGACCAGAGTATGACCACACCTCCCATTCAACGGATTAAAGCTTAACGACACGTGTGAAGTAAAACCCCACTAATAAGCTTATAGCCCTGTCTTTTGTTAGCGAGATCGGTTCAGTCATTTAAATTCTCTTCCTGGTGACCTACGCGCGTTGTGTAAACACACCGGTATCCCTATTGTGTAGAAACTACACAGCTTGCGTCATAACATTACACCAGTTGCTTCCCTTTGAGTATGTCAATAGATCCTATATTGTGTTGGTCTACTTCAATAGGGTATTAACATATTGATGAAATTAACACTGCCAACAATTAGTGTTGACAATAACGATAATTTAACACGTGAGGCTAATTAGACATAAGAATAGGGTTAAAGTTAAGGTTATGAAATTGAATAAAGGCTGTATTAGCTGGTTTAAAATGTTACTCTCTAACTATCAAGTTGTTGAGTTCATATCCCATTTTGTTCATGAACTTCAGCGATGTAATTAGTACTATCATAACACGTTTAGTTCATAAACTTCATCAATACAAATAGTTGTTTTATATCACATTATGTTAAAAAATAAAATCCACCAACACTGACGATTCCCAAAATACGTAAACAAAATTCGCAGAAAGATTCAGCAACCTGTTAACATAGTTGACGCTAGAAATGTAAACACTAGTTAACAAAGTCAACAAAAGGAATGTAGACAGTAAGACACTTACTAAAGGTCATCCAGGTGCACCCTTAGTACGACCCACAGAATCAAAAACAACATGGGCAGAACTGTTGATCAAAGGGTCAAAGTTATTTTTTTATTAAAATTAAACACAGCTGTTTCTGTAAAGGATTATGTTAACATAATGTAACATTTCGATAAATCAATGAACACAGATGTTTTAAAAAAGTAAAGAGAGAGACAAATGAAACGAAAGGTTTGAAGTTACACTTTAACTTAAAAATCTTGAAGCTAGTACAAGACGAGGTGGCCGAGAGGTTAAGGCGATGGACTGCTAATCCATTGGGCTCTGCCCGCGTGGGTTCGAATCCCATCCTCGTCGATCTTTTTGTGATACATTATTAAATATGTCATTAATTTCTTAAACAAGTTATGGTTATAATGCAGCATCCAATAAACTTACAATATCAATGCTTTTGTAAATATTAAATTATTGGAACGTTTATAACAAAACACCAAGACCAGATGTATTTTTTATTCTCTGTGGTGTTTTTTTTTTAGACTACTGACAATTTTTTTTTTCTTTACTGAAAATATTTCTTTATTAAACTAATGAAAAAAAACAACTGTTCCACGTTTATTCGAAAAGTGGAGGTGTCCGAGTGTAGCTAGCATAAACTTTATGACGTCATTTTAGCAGAGTGCGAATACATCGATGTGACGTGGGAAGGTGAGATAGCGAACGTGGTTCAAATAGCGTGACGTCATGCTCAGTCAATACACGTTCATTATCAAACATTATATTAAATATTTTATCATTATCATGTATGCATATTCGGTGTTTATTTTTAGACATTGAAATCTTATACGTAATTATAAATTAATAGGTGCTATTAAGTAACTATATTGACGAATAAGTGCAGTTATCAAGAATTTGCTGACGACTTAACGGTGCCACTTACCCCAGCCAATGACGATGTAGATTTTAAAGAACTTCCGGGACTGTGAGAAGACGGCGAAGAAGATGAGCGTGTGCAGATACAGGCCTTCTACAAATATCCACATGTAGTTGGCGCTCAGCGAGTAGTGCCACAGGGTGGTGAGTAGCTTGCACTCCCAGTGCTGATTGATGCATTGGTTGGGTGGAGGGGGGAGGGGGCAATATGAGTGTTTGTGTATTCATGTGTACTTGTATGTATATATATATATATATATATATATATATATATATATATATATATATATATATATATATATATATATATATATATATATATATATATATATATATATATCGATATATATATATATAAATATATCGATATATATATATATATATATATATATATATATATATATATATATATATATATATATATATATATATATATATATCGATATATATATATATATATATATATATATATATATATATATATATATATATATATATATATATATATATATATATATATATATGTATATATATGTGTGTGTGTATGTGTGTGTGTTTATATGTGTATGTGTTTATATGTACTTATATGACTGTGTACATTTGTGTGGCTATAACAGAGTCTTCTTCTTCTTCGTTCTTAATTTTAGTGTTGGAATTGATCCCCTCCAACACAATTAACTATACGTGTCAACTGGTTATGCGCCATATCAGCCGTTGACTCCGATTTAAGCCTGATTTTCTTTTTGGATTTGTTTCCATAGCCAAGAACAAACTACAAGGCAGCAGTTGTTTGATTTTGGAGTTGCCTCTCCTAGAAGAGTGGCTGTCCCTAGCTAACGAGTCTCATCTGTCCGATATAACAGAGTAAATACTCGCTATATCGATGAATTAAATCACTTTTCGCTCTATCGATGACATAAATCACTACTCACAATATCGATGACTTAAAACACTACTCACAATATCGTCTTTGATGAACTGTAGCTCCCCATTCTCCTTGACCACGACGTCTTTGGGCAGGGCAAACCCTTGGACGAGCAGCCCGTTCTTGAGGACACTGACGGCAGCTCGGAACATGAAGGAGATGAACAGGTTGATGTGGATCGTGTTCCTCTGGCAGTGGAGCCGCCTGCAAGAGAAGGCTGGATGGTGAAATGTGTTGAGGTTGGTCGGGATGGGGCGGGGTATCTCCACAACACACAGATATACATATATATCGTAATGGGGCGGGGAATCTCGTGACTAGTTGGTGGTCTACTTGTGCTTCTACTACCACAACACACATAGACACACACACACACACACACATATATATATATATATATATATATATATATATATATATATATATATATATATATATATATATATATATATATACAGAGAGAGAGAGAGAGAGAGAGAGAGAGAGAGGTCTATATACTATTGGCTTATAGATACACAAAGACAAAATATATATTATATTGGCAGGTACACACACAGAGAATATATATATATATATATATATATATATATATATATATATATATATATATATATATATATATATATATATATATATATATATATGAATAAACTATCTCGTATTATATATAGATCTAAATAAACATAGAAACGTAAATAGCTATTGAAAGACAGTCGACAATCACCACTGGCCTATATGTTATAGCTTGACAGCTACGCGGAGTTGTATTTGTTATTGCAATACATTATGCTACTTAGGATATGGATTTGAACTAAATGATTACACTTGTGGCTAACAGAACGTGCACTGACCTGAAGCAAACCATGATGGAGGTAGCCACCAGCAACGCACCAAGCGACAGCGAGTAGCCGACTGTGGCGATCTTGGAAACAATCGGCATGTTTTGCTGTGGGAAGGAGAGGGGTTTTATTTACAATCAATCTCTGATCAAGTTAGATCTGTAGTAGTTTAGATTAGGGTGCTCTGATACGATCAGGAAAAGTTTGCTTTTATGGTAGTCTTCATGTTGTTAGATGAAGAAGCTTCCATTTGTTTTTATTACCTCGGTATCTAAAAAGATACCGTAGTCAGTCATACGACCTGTGGTCTTTACTTTCCCTAACTTAAATCAGGTATCCATTAGAGCTCCATTGACTCAGTGATGACGTAAAAGTTCACCTTCCAAACCTGATGGTCTATGGGGCAAGAAAAGTAGAGTTTTCTTGCCCTTGTGAACTCAGCATATGAAGGATAGTGTGGTCAGCAGTATGCTTGGCCGCTTTTACTTTCTCTAACGTGAGTTAGGTACCCATCAGAGTGGAGTCAGGGACGTTCTACTGACTTGAACAAGGATTCGAACTCGAGACATTTCGAGTTAGCAGTCTAGCTCACTACCGCTAGGCCACACCGTCCCATCAGTACGGCCTTGAATCCGGGACTCGAACTCTAGACTTGCATCTAGCAGTAGTCTACTGGTCAAAGCGTTAAATACAAGTGTCTATTTGTAAATAAAATTCTAGGCTCAATCCACAAATCAAAGCAGTAAAAACATGTAGCTCAATGTGGAAACCGATTCAATGAATTGTTAAACTATTCTATTTTTATAATTACTTGCTCCTGTATACGTCGAAATAGCCCGCTGTAATAACACTATATGATTTATACTTGTATTTCTGTTCCTGAGATCTATTATACGAATTAGTGGCCTAAGTAGTAGAGCGCTATGCTGCTAACATGAAAGTCTCGAGTTTGAATCCGGGTACAAATCAGTATAACGTCCCTGAGCCCACTCAGTTATGATGGGTGACTAACTCGTGTAAAGGCGGCTGGGCAAAATGCTGACTACACCTTCCCTTCATATGCAGAGGTTAAGAAACATATGAACTCTACTTCATCTGCGCAGTGGTCCAACGATGATTCTTCACTTTACCGCAATAGAATGTGCTACGAGTTTGTGTGAACAAAACAGCAAAAAGTACCTTGATAAACTCTGGCACGCTGTCGTGTCGTATCATGCAGTTGCCGAAGTCTGTCCAAGAACTGTTGGTGTAATGGTGGATCTTCCAAGTCCCGTCACTGAGGCACATTCGGGATGCTTTCTCTGGATTAAGATTGTTATATATATATATATATATATATATATATATATATATATATATATATATATATATATATATATATATATATATATATATATATATATATATATATATATATATATATATATATATATATATATATATATATATATATATATATATATACTCATATTTGCATTGTCGGACTACTAAATATCCCTGACCTTAGCTCGGGTTCTTAAAAAAGCCTTTACGGATAATTACTCAACACCATTAAAATGGCTACCAATTATTTTTCCTTTACCAAAAAAAATTAGGGTCGAATGTGTATGTATCTCTATATGTTATTTTAGAAATAATGGTTTTGACAAAGTTCTGGCACCCACCTCTGATGTTGAAGCCATCGATGTACCAGGCACAGTACTGTGTGGCTGTCTCCCCCGCTCTCGTGTAGTTGGGCCAGCACATAATGTTGTCCCAGGCAGGCTCGCAGTACAGTTCTAGACAAGACAATCATAGAGTACAGTTCTAGACAAGACAATCATACAGTACAGTTCTAGACAAGACAATCATAGAGTACAGTTGTAGACAAGACAATCATAGAGTACAGTTGTACAAGACAATCATACAGTACAGTTCTAGACAAGACAATCATAGAGTACAGTTCTAGACAAGACAATCATAGAGTACAGTTGTACAAGACAATCATAGAGTACAGTTCTAGACAAGACAATCATAGAGCACAGTTCTAGACAGGACAATCATAGAATACAGTTCTAGACAAGACAATCATACAGTACAGTTCTAGACAAGACAATCATAGAGTACAGTTCTAGACAAGACAATCATAGAGTACAGTTGTACAAGACAATCATACAGTACAGTTCTAGACAAGACAATCATAGAGTACAGTTCTAGACAAGACAATCATAGAGTACAGTTCTACAAGACAATCATACAGTACAGTTCTAGACAAGACAATCATACAGTACAGTTCTACAAGACAATCATAGAGTACAGTTCTAGACAAGACAATCATAGAGTACAGTTCTACAAGACAATCATAGAGTACATTTCTACAAGACAATCATAGAGTACAGTTCTACAAGACAATCATAGAGTACAGTTCTACAAGACAATCATAGAGTACATTTCTACAAGACAATCATAGAGTACAGTTCTACAAGACAATCATACAGTACAGTTCTACAAGACAATCATAGAGTACAGTTCTAAACAAGACAATCATAGAGTACAGCTCTAAACAAGACAATCATAGAGTACAGTTCTAAACAAGACAATCATAGAGTACAGTTCTAGACAAGACAATCATACAGTTCTAGACAAGACAAGTATACAGTACATTTCTTTACAAGATATTCATATAACTACATCTTAAACAGCAACGTCTCAAATAAACCAAGAAAAAAATGAATCAACGTTTTTGTATCAAATAATCTAATGTTAAAACCCACAGATGATCATACACACGCAGGCACTAAATAGCTTTCAAATATACATTCATAACATAATATCTAATGGCTTTCAATTACCTCCATCATCAGGCCTTGTTACATTCATTATAGTCTTGAAACAATCAAACTCAGCCTTTTTCAGTTGGATCCTCTGTTCCTAAAGCAAATCATTATATATATATATATATATATATATATATATATATATATACATATATGTATATATATATATATATATATATATATATATATATATATATATATATATATATATATATATATATATATAGTAAATAGACTTTATTTTGCATAAGAGTAACACTTCTTTGAATAATTTTAGATAACTATATTTATTACAAAAGTGTGTGTTATTATCAGTTTGTTTTGATTTTGTTAGTGTACACAGTAAATGAGGCCAGACAGATATTCTTAGATGTGTGTCAGGCCAACTTTATCTGTCATTGATTTAGCTTCAACGAACGTTTCGATAAACCTTGGTTTAACTACAATTTCGCCGAACAAATTAACAGCAGGGTCACCTGAGTGACGTCATTTATTCAAACACTCACCTGTAAATGGTCGAATGACGTCACAGCTTGCACGAGGAAGAGCAGAAGCAGGGGACAGAATCCTGTCCACACACTGGTCATCGACATGGCGGGCAGGTTGGTGTTGCAGTACGGTGGAGGTTTTTAAAATAACATGCTAGGGTTCACAACGTGAATTATCTCCCTTTTTCTGCACAGACGAGTTATCGTTCGTTAGCGTTGATGCGGACGGAGTTGAAGAAAGTGTGGTGGATGGCGTGGATAAATTTTAATATGGTGGTCAGTAGTGGTCAAGATTGCTCATTGCCAACGTTGTTCACTGGAGATAATGTTGTCGTTTATCATTATGGTTGATGTGTCTCAGAGAGTAATTTCCGCGTTCGTCAGATTTGCTGCGCTTGTCTCACTATAGACTGTGAGAGGGTGAACTTGCCAGTGAAAATTTGAATTGCAAGTCTAATGTTTACAGGATTCTGTGGTTCTATATTGTTACATTCTCTGTTAGTGCACACATGAAGAGACAGATTTTTCTGCTATTGGCCGCAGCGTAAGAATTCAGCTGAACGACTGGAAAAGAAAGAAACAAAACGATAAATATAAAAAGTTTATGAATCATATTAATAATTTTATATAAAAAGGATTTGATTTGATTTTAACTAATAAAATTTGAATTTGGAATTTTGGTTGTTCGTAATCTAATCCTATAACACGGCGTGGTCAAGAGATAGAGCACACGACTACTGGCCCGGAAAGTCAACAGTTCTATTCAAGTTCGTAGAACTTCCTTGGGTCAAACTAGCTCTTGAAAATAAAAAAATTGCCTGTGCATAGAACTGTCCAAACAATCCATGCACAACCCAAGCTTAAAGAAACAGATGAAACTCTACTTTCTCTGCGTTATGGATCATTAGGTTTTTAGGGAACTTTTTGCCTAACCTTAACACAAACCAGAGTTTCTTCATCCCTCCCCCCCCCCCCCATCCCCGAAGAAAGTCTACCGGCCCCTTCCTCCCAAACAAAGTAGAATTTATATAGAAAATATACTTCGGACATCGTCCGCCCCCCCCCCCCCCCTCGGAGAAAAAAGTCTGGAGTCCACCCAGCACTGATGGGTACCTAACAGACGTTAGGGAAAATAAATGCGGATATGCATAATGCCGATTACACTATCCCTTTATATGCCGATGTAAATGAAACAGAGGAACTCTACTTCTCCTGCCCAATGTGTTTTTGGAAAACAGTCTAACATTGGCACACGAGTTTAGCTTAAAACTGTCCAGACCTGGCCCTATCAGTGACTTTAACTCATACATTATGAAATAGCAACACGACGTATGTTCTTTATTTAAAGTTTGTATGAAACACAATACGTATCAATTATTATTATCGACACGTTCAACTCACAATATCTTGTGAAAGATTACACAGGGGTGACTGTAAATATTGTCACAAGCGTCTTAGTGACAAAACTGTTATAGCACATTCATTCGATTTATGCGTGTTTACGTGTTGGTTTTCACGTGTGTTAGTGCATGTTTAACTGTATTTATTTTACTTTGTAGCACAGCATTCGTCCAAGTTGAGAAAGTTTTACTTCTCAAATAAAAAAAAAATGTAAAAAAAAAAGAAAAAAATTATATTTCCTCCTGAGCAGTGGAGGTGGGGTCAGGTGGGGCAAAGTCTACGGTCGTATACCATCTCCCTATCACCCCAACGCCTCAAGCCGAGGAGAAACGCCCTTGATAACGTCCGTAACTCACAGAGCAATTAGTCATAACGTACCTTCTTTTTTTCAAATTAACGAAGCTAATTCTTCTTGTCTGTTTATACCCCCTTCTAATCTAGACATCTAGCCCAGGTAGTATTTAACTGCTACCACCCCTCCCCCCACCCCGTACCTTCAGTTCACCTGTTTGTAAAGAAATAAACACTTAACCACCTAGAGGTTTATCTACAGTCCGACCTTGACATTCCAATCACCGTCTTGATGTATCAGGTAACTAACGGGTTTAGGGGATCAGGTCACAGTTCACGACGTGACGTCTAAATAATGCTGGCCGCAGCCTTAGAATAAAAGATATGATTGAGATCGGAGTTCTGTGACCAAGTTGTTATAACGGAACCCTAGGCAGGGTATCTATTTAGATACCTGCGGGGGGGGGGGGGGATTACTGGAATGATCAGGGAAGAGGGATGGGGGGGGCGCAATTATGAGAACGGTTAAAGTAAATTTTTTATTTAAATTTTTCAATTCTGTTTCTGGGAGAGAAGGGGCGGGCGATCTTTCAGGAGGGGACGTATGAGAGGGCGCCACTTCCCCGGAGATATGCCTGATCGTGGGGCGTTACTCCTGCAGACACCCACCGCTTTGATCAAACCCGAAAAAGGTTCCGCCCATGGTGATAACGTGTCCTTCACCTTACTGTAGCGGCGCAAGTGTAAATCATTGTTGAACAAGTTTTAAGAAAAATATAACTTAAAACGTATTTGTAGTTTATAATTCAAAACATATAAAGTACAATTTTTGTACTTAACAATTAATGACGTATGAAGTACAATTTTTGCACTTAACAATGCATGATGTATAAAGTACAATCTGTGTACTTAACATCATCTAACATGAAGCACTAGTCGTGTACTTTACAGTACTTAAAAAAAAGTAAAGTTTTTGTTACTTTACTTTCTCTAAACAAAAATATTTCTGTATTCATTCAGGAACTATAAAATGATACCATTAATTTAAAAAAAACATATAAAATGACACCATCTAATCCTAGCTTAATCTAAGACACCATTCATTCAAAAATCAAGTCAAATAACACCATCCACTACTAGCTATATGATTATAGACACCATATATTCCCAACAAAAACAATGACACCATCCATTCCTAACAAAATTCACGACACCACCCATCCCTAACAAAATTCATGACACCATCCATCCCTAGCAAAATTAATGACACCACCCATCCCTAACAAAATTCATGACACCACCCATCCCTAACAAAATTCATGACACCACCCATCCCTAACAAAATTCATGACACCACTCATCCCTAACAAAATTCATGACACCACCCATCCCTAACAAAATTCATGACACCACCCATCCCTAACAAAATTCATGACACCACCCCTCCCTAACAAAATTCATGACACCACCCCTCCCCTGACACCCTTCAGTCACCTGCATCGTGTTTCTCTTCACCCCCACTTCATAAATAACATCACGCGCTTTCACGCGCCCACCACCACCCCGAGACTTCCGGTTTGATAAATCTCGCCGCGCGCATATAAATACGTTCTCGTCCTACACTGGCCATTAATCGGCCATGTTATCACACATAAAAAAAAAACAGCCGGGGTAGATATTTCTTCTTATTTATTCACTTTTTTTTATATACATTTCTTATCGACTCGATTTGACACAAATCTGTTTTTTTTTCTAAATAGCTGGTTTCGTTCTGTGGTTGGTTGAGGGGTCAGAGTGGTATACACGGTGGGGGGGAGGGGGGAGGACTGAGTTGGGGGATTAAGTGAGGAACAGAATTTATAATATTAAATATTAAACTGTCATTTTTTAAGCTGCTTTATTTAAGCACATGTATGTTATGTATGTTCTAAAATGTTGATTTGCGTTTCTTCAAAGGCCAAATGTTCGTTACCAATGCGAGCCACATAGATGAAAGTATCCAGCTATGGTCAAGCATGGTAAGGGGTCGACGCCGCAATATGAAACTTAGTACCAGACACACAACTGGTAGTGCCCCAAAGACCCCATCAAGGGCTAAGAATTAATATATGGATGTTCTAAAAATTGCGTTAATTAGGTTTTCGAACATATTCCGCGCTATGAAAGAGTAAGTTAGTAAATGAATACGTAAGCCGAAATGTTTCAGAACGCATTATATAAGCGGAGGGCGGTAGTAACAAGCATCAATTTTGATATCGCACCGTCCCAATTTTTCGATTCATATCATCTCACCCCCCTTCCCACAAACCCACCTCATCGCACCCGTCTTACACTTTATACCCTTTCCATTGTACATCCATTAAATTGCTACTAGTTACATAATTTCCTTCCAAAGATTACCGTTTTTTTTTTAAATAACTCGTCAATCAATAAACACAGAAATGGCAGATGATAATAATTTGCACATAACCTTGATATTCAATGCTTTTATATTATACTTTGAGTTGTTTTGATTAGGGACACTCAGTTAGGGGGGAGGGTAGGGAAGGGATGGGATTGGGGGGGGGGGGGGGGGGAAGAGGCGTGACTGCTCGCACAAAACAAGCTTTGAGTATCAAAAGCCCGCACGTGAAAGACGCCCATTGAGGCGCCCCGCTCGTTATCACCCGGCACCCCACCGGCTTATCTAAATCGCTGGAGTCACGGTATTATTAGAATTGTCGGTCAATAGAGCTATAAAATGTTCGTCCTGTTCTAGATATAATACGCCTCACCCCCCCCCCCCCTTCAGCCTCTTCAATTCACACCCCTTTACCAAACGTGTTCCAGATTTTTCGTGTTGTAGAGTTACAAAATGTTCGCTCTTGTTCTCGTTGATATACTAACACCCCCCCCCCCACCCCCATCACCATCATCCACCCCAATTACCTCACTTGCCCAAGATGTGTTAGTAAATAAATGTTTAAATGTTTTTAACAAATCTGCTTGTGGCATCAACCAACCCCCCCCCCCCCCACTAACACACACAAACAAACACGTTTCTTCACTACTGCTCTTCAATTCTGTTTCTAACCCCCTCCCCCTCCCTATTCCCCTTATACCTAATCGTCGGTGATAGTCTTATCACACTTTTCTGATTTCATTACAATCCTCCCCCCCCCCCCCACACACACAAACATGTTTCTCTATTGGTCTCTTATAGGGCTGGTAAGTAGGTCACCAACCAGCTCTACGGCTCAATAAAACCTGCATGAGAACTGGTTGGTGACCTACTTACCAGCCCTATTCTAGATCTGCAAAATATTCTACCAGTTCTGTTACTTACCCCCCCCCCCCTTGCCCATTCCTCAAATATCCCTAATTGTCAGTCATAGATTATCAAACGTCCTTACTGTTTTGGTTTCATTACACCCCCCCCCCCCCACCCACCCACACACACGTTTCTCCACTATTGTTTTCCTATTCTAGATCTACAAAATATTTTTCTCGTTATGTTACAAACCGCTCCCCTCACCTCCCCCTCCCACCATTCCTTTTTGTCCACACTTGTCGGCCATAGGCTTATCAAACTTTCTTTATGTTTCATTATCCCCCCCCCCCCATACATACACATACACTCACACCCACTCACTCTCACACACAACTTTCTCAACTATTGCACCCCTATTCTAGATTAA